TGTACTGAGTTTGTCACATTTTTCCTTCCAGTTGCATTTACTTCTATTATAATGGATTTCCATCAGGCTATTGGAGCTAGCTGAGTGACCTGGCAGGAAATCACTTTTCTTTAGGAGGAGAGTGGTGTTCCAAATGGATAATTTTAGATTTACTTATAAAAGAATAGAGACCCTATATACAAAAACCGACTCCAGATGGATCAAAGACTTAAATGTGAAACCTAAAACAATAAAGTTCCTCAAGGGAAAACTAGGGACAAATTTAGGGGCCCTAATATATGGCATGGGAGCTATGGTAGCATAGTGCCTAAGGCACTTGACTGCTAACCAGAAGCCTGGCGATTCAAACCCGCCAGCCACTCCTTGGAAGGAAGGTTGGGCAATCTACTTCTGTAGTGATACTGCCTCGGAAACCCAAGGAGGGGTCGCTATGAGTTGGGTCTGACTCCACGGCACATAATAACAACAACAACAACAACAACAACAATCCTACAATAAAACAGCAATTTGCATGATGGAGCCACCCAGTCTTTCTTAGACTATCAGGATAACTCTCAGGGACACAGGTAAAATAGTGGCCAGTTTTGGTATGTGTATTTACTTTCTTGTTCTAAAAAGTTGAAAACTAGGGATAATTTGGCATTCATATGGGTGTGGAAGATGAATAAATGAGGAAGATAAATTTTTCCAAAAAGTATTTTCAAGCATGACAGTAAGAGAAAGCAGGAAATGTTCTTGATCCTTATCAAGCTATACACCAAGAGATCATGCTTTTTATATAAAGGTCATTCCCTCCCCCACCCCTTTCTAGTTTTCTCCTCTTGCTTTCAATTATTAACACAAACTGGTGCCAGTTTTTAACAAAATGAGGTTCCTTTTTAATTTTAAAACTGTGCTCTTCCTTTACTTTTCAATTATTCTATGGAATGGATAATTAATTTCCCTTTCCTCACTAAGTGGCTTGAATCTATGGCTTTTGGGGAGCTAAGTCTACCCCATGCATTTGTGTGTTAAACAAAGATAAAGAATAAAGACAATGACTAATGAAGATCATGTATTTTCTAGGGCTTTTAAAGCTATAGGATTTCTTTTCTTCCCTTCAAATGGTTGTACACAATAAATTACACTGCAAATAAAAATGAATTAAGTGAAACTGAGAGATCAGAGAAGGAATAATGAGGCGCCAGTTTCTGTAGAAGGTCTTTAATGGATGATGCTCTGGGACTATCAATTGAGAAAGAAAAAAAATCAAATAAAAACCTATTCCATGTTAATTTTGCAGATCTTGTTCTTTTCTTTGTTTTCATTTAAATAATTCTACCACTGTTTTATATAAACATTTTACCACTCTTTATATAAGATCTTTCTTGTGCTATGTGTACTATATTCTGCAAACAAATTCTAATTCCTTAAAGGCAAACAGAAATTAAACTATTTTAATGTCCTTTGCTTATTAATGGGAGTTCTGGTGGCATAGTGCCTAAGGCATTTGACTGCTAACCAGAAGGCTGATGGCTCAAATGATGAGCACAGCACTTTCTTCCATGTGTTATCAGCTGCGTAACTCCCCTTCACCTTTGTGTTTGCTCCATATGAGCAGAAATACCAAACGAACAAATAAAAACCCAAAGACCACAAACCAAACCAAACTCACTGCCATCAAGTGGATTTGACTCACAGCGACCCCTCCTTGGGTTTCCGAGGCAGTATCACTATGGAAAAAGATTGCCCATCCTTCAGTGGCTGGTGGGTTTCAACCACTAGCCTTCTGGTTAGCAGTCAAATGCCTTGGGCACTAGGCCAGCAGAGCTCCTAAAGAAGCCCCTATCTTTTCCACTTCATATGCAAAATTCATCTCAAGCTATGAATTGCCTTCCTCCTTGAGACTGTTTGAAATTCATTACTTTTATTTTATTCCTTTGAGAAAGTAAGAACAAGTCATAATTCAAAATGAAATCACTGATTCCTCTGTGGAATCTCTCTTGCTCCATTGAATTGAAGCTGAGAGGGCAAAGCTGGGTTTACTCCAGTCTGGGGAGAAGTTCTTTTATCTCTGTTATGCTGAGCATCTAGCAGAGATCTTTGAATATAGAAAATGTTCTGTAAATTGGCAAAAACATCAGTGAATGGAAGAATAACATAACTTTCACTGTTTTAAAACAAATAGTTTCTATCCCACTCTCTCTTATCATGATTTGAAACCTGTTGTTTATCAGGCTTTACAGATAGATTTAAGGCCTCCCTACGGATAATAGACCATGACATGGAGAAATGTTGTGGCTTTAGGAAAGCTTAGAAAAATGAACCTGTGCTTAACCAAACTTCAAATGAAATATTTTGTCTGAGTGACACTTAGAAGCATGTCCGTAAGAAGCTAGAAAGAATCATTTTGGAGTGGAAGGCAAAGCAAGGTGTTCCTGGGAGCAGAAATATTAAATATGTTTTCATTTAGGCCAGGCAAAGTCCCATCCAAATCAAACCATGACATCCAACTTTTTTGGTCCGCAATGGTAATTTTGGTTACCTCTAGTGCCACAAAATGGATGCCTTTAACAAACAGGAGTTTATTCTTTTACAGTTTTGAGGCTAGAAGTCTGAGTTCAAAGTGCTAGGCTCTAGGGGCTGGATGAAAGCTCCTTGACCTTGGGCTTCAGCTCTACCTCTTGCTCCCAGCCCACTCAACCTAGAGGTGTCTCTTCACTCAAGCAGCTCCTGGCTACTGAGGCTAACAAGCCCAAGGTTGACAAATAAAACAGCACAGTCCCAATATTAGCAAACAATGTGGCAGACTACTAGTTCAAGTCCAGAGACAGTCCAAAGATCAGCAGGAAATATGACAGGCTGCTAAATGAAGGTCTGGTTATACGCAGGGTTCAAGTATGCCAAAAGGTGCAGACCTTTCCCAACACCTCTCCTTATATGCTGGAAGCAGACCACATTCCTCAGCTGCTGCAGTAGATTCCACCATGGAGTTGATTACCAATCTCTCTCACCATGGGGAAAAACTACATACAGCTGCCCAGCCACTCAAAACCAGGCCCAGCCAAGTTGACACATAACCTAAACTACCACATGGTATTAGCTAGATTAATTGGAATTTATTCTGAAAGAACTCTGGTTTTATCTGATTTCAGTCTTCTGTGCTTCCATCTGTTTTTTCCTTTTCTCTCAATGACTATGTAATTTCCCCTTCAGTTTCTCTTCAGCTGGTCCTTGTGTTCAAGGGTGGGAGAATGAAGAAATCACAATCCTAAAAAGCTAATTGTATACTTCAACCTGCCTTAATAAAAGTGGATGTTCCTCGCTTCTCCATAATATCACGCTAAGGGGTTGGTTAGCTCCACCACCCAGCAACTATGCTTGCATGTTAGGGACCACAGTAACCGTGATCCCTCCCATTGTGCACTAAGGGATTCCCCCAGGGATGGGGACTTCAAGGCTAAGACAAACTCTGCGCTATATGCTAAATGGGAACGAGACTCGCTCTATAAAGGCAACACTTACAAGCAAGAATAACCTTGAGAAAAACCCTTTGGACGCAGATCAATGCTCGGGAACGTTGTCACTCACTTACAATTCCCCTTTGACATGCCACAGATATGCCACCTCGCAACCCAATTCCCTGCTCTGCGCCTCAGGTGAGGTGGGATCTTGTCGGATCAGCCGCTGGGGAAATGTGCTTTCCTTCTCTGCCTGGTCAACTCGAGTGACCTTGGTAGAGCGTTTCTCTGTTCCTCTGGGGATGCTTCCTCTGTGGTGCCTTGACCTGCTCCTCGTCGGGTAATGTTCTACCTGTCCTGGAGGTCTCCTGGGAATTGCTGCTTCCTAGTTCCCTGGATCTGCCTGAAGGCAGAACTATCTGGCGGCCTCCAATCCCCGAACTCTCGGATGGCTGCGGGGCTGCGCTAGCCATTAATGGCCATCATCCATTTTTAATCAGAAAGATCACAAGAAGGATGGTAAGCGAATTCCAGTCGCAAGTCAATTTAAATAACATTCCTGGGGAAATCCAATCATTTAAAACTGAGACACCTACGCTAACGAGAGCCCCCGCCCGTCTGGCGGGGAAGAGCGAGGAGGCTGAATTAATCAAGATCAAGGGGCTCCGGGGCTCCGCGCAGGGCATTAACCCTTCCAGTCCCGGAGGGTGACTGGGCAAGGGAGGAAGAGCGCGGCCGGTCGGGGCCAAGATGCCCAGGACAGCCCCGCGCACGCCGCCTCTGCCATCTTGGGCGGCTCCGGACGCCCCGTGCCGGGCCCAGGCGGCTGGACGCGCGGGGTTAAGGTCAGAAGCTCTGGAGGCTGGTCAGGCTGCGAGGAGCAGCCGTCTCCTGCAGCCTCCCCGCGCCTGCGGCTCCTCCTCCCACCCGAGAGTGGCCGAGTGAGGGCAGCTCCGGCCGCAGGTAGCTGAGGCGCGGGAGGCGGCGCGCACCAGTCGGAGCGGAGAGCCCTAGGAAGGGCCGACTGACAAGCAGACAGACGGATCCCCCAGGCTCCCGCCACAGACGTTGGCAGAGGTCTGCGGGGGCCATGTGGGGACCTGGGGTCGTGGCCGAGGGCCTGTCCGTGGCGCCGGCACCGCCGCCGCTGCTGCCGTTGCTACTGGCGCTGGCGCTGGTGGCGCCCTCGCGGGGCGGCGGGGGCTGCGCGGAGCTGGCGTGCGGCGAGCGGGAGCGCTGCTGCGACGCGGCCAACGCCACGGCGGTGCGCTGCTGCAAGCTGCCGCTGCACGCCTTCCTGGACAGTGTGGGCTGGTTCGTCCGAAAGCTCTCGGGGCTGCTCATCCTGCTCGTGCTCTTCGCCATCGGCTACTTTCTGCAGCGCATCATTTGCCCCAGCCCACGCAGGTACCCGCGCGGCCAGGCGAGGCCCGGGCCGCCGGGAGGCTCGGGGCCGCCAGCGGCTGCGGGGCCACCCCACGACGACGACGACGACTCGCCCGCTCTACTACGCGACGAGGCGGCCGCCGGCTCGCAGGACTCGCTGCTGGACAGTGGCAGCGGCCTCCGGGGCCGAGGAGGCGGGGGGCGCCCGGTCGCCGGCTGCGCATCGGAGCACGAGCTGCGGATAGTCTCTCCAGTCTTCTTGCAGCTGCCCAGCTACGAGGAGGTCAAGTACTTGCCTACCTACGAGGAATCCATGCGACTGCAGCAGCTCACCCCTGGGGAGGTCGTGCTGCCAGTGTCGGTGCTTGGCCACCCGCGAGGTGGCAACGCGGTTGAGCCCGACGGCGGCGAGGGCCGCTTCCCGCTCATCTGAGCGCCGGGGGCCGCTCGGGGACCACGCGGACGCAGCGAGCTGGGGACAGAGGTGGGACGTGCCCGTCGGGGTGGCTCAGATTCCGACTGACACCTGGCCTCACCGTCCCTCGCCCCGAGAGGAGTTTGGCTCACACTCTACTCCTCCATCCAGCTCTCTCCGGGAGTCTCAAGTTTGCCCGTTTTGCTCAGCTCAAAGAACGTTCGGCATGAGCGGCTGGGGCGGCGGCGGCGGCTGACGAGCCCTGAGCACAACTTGGAAGGACGTCCCCGCCCTCATGACTCGGGATTAAGTTCACTCGTAAGTGCCTGCTCCCCGAATCAAAGCGAACACGTGAGCCCTTTGGTGCGGCTAGCGCGGGGCGGTTTCCTTAGGGATGAGGAGAAAAGGGACCAGTTACCCTCTCTTCCCTCCTTCCTGGACTGGTAGTGGTCTGGTAGGATAGGCGGAGGGCGAAAAGTCCGGGTTCAGGACTTGTTTCTGTGACTGCTGCGCGCAGTTTCTGGGAGAGCGGCTGAGACGCTGACAAATGCAGCACTTGGGACGAATCCCTCCCTTGCAGGAGACCAAAAAAAAAAAAAACCACACCAGAAAAGAAAGAAAAAACTTTCCTTCCTGCCCAAGCAAATAGTCACAGCTGATGGCTGTGGAGGTACCCGTGATATCCGGCTAGTCGTTGTACCTATCCAGGGTACAGAAATTACTGCATACTCAAGACAGTAATAAAGTACAGTTGGAGTTTTGATTTTTCAGTAACTGAGACGTTATTTATATGTCTTTTGTTTTTATATTTTTACCATATATTACATGCAACAGGAGGCTGTTTCAGAAAAGTAATGACAAGATAATCACCTTTTAGGAGACTAATGACCAGGCATTGCCCACATTTGTCATTATTGTTTAATAAAATGTTGGATATTATTTCATTAAAAGTGGGGTGAAAAAATAAAAACAGATAGATGGTCAAAGGAGAAATATATGGCAAACATGTGAAGGAGATCTTATTTTCACTATTTGAGAAGATTTATTTTTAGTACTGTGACACAATATATAACTTTTTATATTAACTGTATACATTATGTAGTCTAGGTCTTAACTGACTGTCATTCATCACACAAGTTATATGTAAAAATAATTGATGCATATATGCCATACCATGAAGCATGATGTCATGCACTTTCCCTTCCATTTTTCATTTGGTGGTGGTTACAAAACATAACAACTTGTGTGTGACTTGTAACTTTCGTTTAAAGCCATAATTGTGTAGTAATGTGCTACAGAAAGATTCAGTCAACCTATCCTGAGGAAAAAAGTGTCAATGTATCAGTTCTACCATTCTATGAAATTATCCTTTCCACAAAACCAAAAACCCACTGCTGTTGATTCTGACTCATAGGGATCCTATAGGACAGAGTAGAACTCTCCCCTAGGGTTTTCAAGGTAGTTAATCCTAATAGAAACAGACTGCCAGAACTTTCTCCCCCAGAATGGCTGACAGACTTGAACCAGCAAACTTTTGGTTATACCTGAGCACTTTAGCTACGGCTCCACCAGAGCTCCTTTCAGTGAAAGAACTAAAATGATTATGTGTAATGTACATATGCATATTGTCTACATACAAATACACATTATGTACAGTTTGATTATATGAAAGGAAAAGGAGTAAAACATGAAAAATAGTTTCTCTGCTTGGAGAACAGTAAATACTACACATCAGGAAAGATTAACCTTTGGCTCTCATACATGCATCTGGAACACATGTATGTTCCTGTGATTGAAAAAGTCAACCAGTCCTGGGAAATCTTAAAATTCTGAATTGTATTAGAAGAGAATGATATGATTACTGTAAACTTTTAAAAGCTGATTGAAAAAGTCTGACAGTCCTGAGAACTCTAAAAATAGCTAAACTGTGTTAGAATGATTTGATGACTTTAAATTTGTAAAAGCTAATGACCCTGTCATTAAAATCATTTGAAAAGTATTAAACTATAGGAAAACATTAAGATATTGGTACAATTTACCAGGTGTGTGATTATAAAGCAGTGTATTAAAATATGAAGTATATGGCTTTGTTATGGAAATGCAATTTTAAGCTTATTATAAATGGACATGATGATGAGAATGGCATAACATTTAATGGAAACACATTGAAGAATCATGTATGTTAGTGTTGCTTAAATGCTGTGAATGTGTGTTACATGTGGCTATCAATACCACCCACCATTCAAACTGGAAAGTTGCCATATTTATTAAATTATTTATCCTTGTGGGTACACTGTTTTACAGACTTAAAATTTACCCAAATCTGAAACACCAACATTGGTATCCATGTACAGAGTATATGTTGTTACTACTAACAGCTTAAAGAACATTACAACAAAAACTTGTAAATACATTCTTATAATGATCTATGTCAAATATGGAGCATTTTTCTCCCTAAAGTTCAGAATGTCTATAATGTAGTAATTCTATTTGATACCACTCATGCAGTGGGGTCCTACTGAATTTTAAAATTACAAGTTTTCACTTGTTTTTCCTGCACATAACACAGGTTTTTATTCACATCTCTCAGTTCAATAAAAATGGGTTTGTTTGGCTCTTCAGTTCTTTCTCATAATTCATTGATTTACCAAACATAATACTGTTCAGGCACAGTTTTGTGGAAACTTAACAGTATTTTTATTAATAACAAATGAATACGTCTGATGGTTACAAACATACATGTGGGGTCACTGTGAGTTGGAATGGGCCTGATGACAACAAGTCACTATGTGTATGTGTGTGAGTGTCACATACGATGTTAATTCAAACACAATCTATGATTTTAAAATGCCAGATTACCTGGATAGACACATTTTAAAAGCACTTAAGGACAGCATCTTGGTTTTTAGTTTTACAGACTGTACATGGAAATTGTTAATTACACAGAGGCTAGTACATATAACTGCACATGTTTATTAATCTAGAAAATAGTTCTCTCACCTAAAAATAATTCATGATGAGACATTTTTTAATATTCTCTGTAATCTTGTATGTGTATTGTGACTGATATTTTTTGCAAGGCTTCTAAAAACATACATACCTTAACCAAACTGACCTGGGAGCACTAAGTTCTCCAGCAGCAACTAAGCTTGTGCTTCTGCTTTTCAGTTATCAAAGTAATTCCCATACTAAAACATTTCAAGTGTATTTCCTTTTCACTGACTTCTCATGATTAAGGAATAATGGTCCTGGATATGGTAAAAATCCTTCTGTTATATGAGAAAACATGATTCATTTT